GCATCACTGCTTTTTTCAAAAAAAAAAAAAAAAAGTTTTGTTTTGTTTTTTGCCCTGCTGTTCACAGCTGTCATTTTACACATTGCAAACACCTGCAATGTGTTGTATCCTGTATTATTGTAGTCTGTCTACTCCTCTTTTGAGAAGAAGAGGCACAGAGACTTTGTAAAGTAGAGCAATGCATTAAGCGTTTCCCTTCTACACAGTTGCATTCATCAGTGTCACACACACTCAGGGTTTATAAATCTAAATGCACTGAAGCATGCTGCTGTCTCCAGCCGCCTGTGACTCTCTATGGGAGAACCTGTGTATATTAGCCACGGAAATTCCAACTGCAATATTGTCTAGTCTGACTGATAATAATAATACCAACTGTTTCTTTAACTTTCAACCTCATAGCCTTGACTAGGGCAAGTTGTCCAAAACAAGTTTTATTTTATTGTTGATTTATCCTCTAATGACAAATGATAAAATAATTGAAGTTGTCTGTAAGACGATGATTTCTACACTGGCAAAAAATAAATAAAAAAAGTGCTAAACTTCACTGATAAACCCCACAATTAAAATACAATAAAAATAATTGATAAAAAAATTAAAATGAGTACAAAAAAACTTTAAAAGAATCTAAACATATGTATTATGCATTTTGCACATGGAAAGAGAGAGAGAGAGAGAGAACTAAACACAAGTGTGCAGCACTGTTTTATCTTTTTTTTTATTTTTTTTTTATGATTCAGAAACTCTGAACAAACTGAAATTCATTCCCGTACTGTAATACAACAAAGGTTCTCAACTGGTGGGTTGAAAAAAATGGGTCACAGTAGGACTGCACGATTATGACAAAAATCATAATTGTCGATTATTCCCTTGAAATTGTAATTGCGATTATTAATTGCGATTATCATAATCTACATTGAATGATGTTTACTGTTTGAAGCAACTGCATGCCATATTTTTATATGAAAATAAACAAGCTGAAAACACTAACTGAAAAACTTTTATTGCTTTTCTATAGTATTAAGCCTCAAATGTCAACTATACATTGGATTGGTTTCTTCTTTAAATTATAAAAAAGTAAAAATATAACTAAAATTTAAATAATGGGAAAAACCCTTAAGATAACATGTAGAAAGAAAAAAAAGCATCTTAAGCATGCAGAATAATAAGTGGACTTTGAACGATTAATTGCCGCTTTGAACGATTACGTAATTGTGGCATCCATAATTGATCTTGATTAGGTTCAAACCGAAACCAAGCCATTCTCACAGAACGCATATTCAGTGCATTTTCTAGACGGACAAATATGACTGCTGCACTCGCGTCTCACACGAGAGATGTATAGAAAGTAGGGCTGTGCGATTAATCGAAATCGAATCGAAATCGCGATTTGAGACGTTGCGTTAAGCATGCAGAATAACATAAGTGGACTTTAAACGATTAATTGCACCTTTGAACAATTACGTAATTGGGGCATCCATAATTGTAATCGCGATTAGAAATTCGATTAATTGTGCAGCCCTAGGTCACAGTGTGTTCTTTTCCAAATTTTCCATCTTTAATTTTTCAGTGAAGTTTTGAGAAACTGTATCAGTACAGTAAGCTAATATTACTAACACATTTTACTAATATTTTATTAACAAATATCCCAAACATCATGGTATTCCACTTGAATCAGGTTTGTTTGAAAATACAAAAAGTCACAGCACCCTCTAGTGTCAAACTGAACAAATGCACACTGCTGTAGATGGTTTACAGTATCTTTGATTGCACAGGTCAATCTTCCTTGCGGTTGCGGCAGTCAGTCAGAGAACTGTGGGGAGCATGAAGCGACACACAAATACTATATTCACAAAAGCCTCCATGATAACCATCCGGACTATTTCTGCAGAATGCAGCATGTATAAGCAGCATAAAATTGTCTGCATATGCACTCAAAAGTCAGTAAAAATATGTCCCAGCACTGTGTTATGAAGGACTTTTCTGTATTGATTTTTTTTTACCCCTATTTTGAATTATGCATTATGGTTGAAGGAAATGTCCTTGAATTTTATGGAAAATGTACTGGTAATTTTCTGCCAGGACATTATCTGTTTCCATTTTCAGAATGAGCTGGATGAAATATCAAATGTGATTTTCTAATAGATATTTTTTTAATATATTATAATTTTTTTATTACTATTTACATTCCCAAAATGTGTTACAATTATGAGAAAAATGGGGGAAAACTATTTCTACCTATATTTTCCTATATTGAGTCACTTGTATAAGAGCAATATTTTATGGGAACACATTACAAAAAGGTTTCATTTTTTGTTAATATTACTTAAGATGAACTAACAATTAACAATATGTCTACAACATTTACTTAAGTTTAATTTAAATCAAACATTGTATCTGTTAGCATTAATGTACTGTGAAAATGAACAATTAAATTTTTTTAATAACATCGACAAAGATTTTTAAAAAGCTGTAAAATGTACACTAATGCATTAACTAATGTTAACAAATGAGACCCTATTGTAAAGTGTTAACAATTTTACTGCCATTTATCAATAATTTATCCAAAATTAGAGGTATTACTGTCTCATCTCAAAAGTCTTCTGAGCAAATTCACAAAAAAACAAATGCTGCTCCCAACATCACAATCCAGCAACTCGACTGGTTCTAAGCTGTGGATGTAAGAGTTCTAGAACATCATGAGCAGTATGTGATTCTCTGATCTTTGATGCAGATGGGATCAGTCCGTCAGGTGTGGATGTCCCACTGTTCTGTGACAGAGACAGAGTGCCTGTTCTGGACCCGTTCAACCTCGCAGGACGCGTGACGGCTCTCAGACAGTCTGGAGGGAGCATTTGAATTTTACACCTGGAAAGAAGCAGCCTATCATTAAAAAACTCTAATTTCTGTGTCAGGTAGACTTACAGGTAATCAATCACCTTGTCACTGTTTTTTCCCCTATTTGGTCTCGTTTTCAACCTTTCAAGACAATTCTTTCTAATTAAATTTGTTGCTGAGTTGAAGAGAAAGGAAAACGTCTTGTTTTATGATTAATCTACATTTTGTTCTCTCTCCACCTCAGGTACTTTGTTACAAAGAATAAAGTGCTATTCTTTTTTTTTTTTTTTTTTCCCTTAATTAAAATGTTCAAATATTTTATTTCTAAGAACTGTACACTGAAAGTTTCTTTTGGGAACCAAAAATGGTTCTTCTATGTCATTGCTACAAAAACAACCTTTATTTATTTTTAATAGAGTAGTTATTACGGGATGTTTTTCCACTAGACAATCAACACTGCAACAAAATGCTTTTCCTCATATATAATGAGGTGAAAATGTCCAAGTACTTTTTGTAACATTTTAGTCTATGTCTAAGCATTGTTTTTACACAAATCAATATACAAGGTGCAAAATCTAAACGTAAAAGCCATTTAGTGCTACATTTCTACCTGTCAACTTTGTAAGTTTCACACCTATTTTCACTGTCTTTTTTCAACAAAAAATAATCTCCCTCCTCATATTTCACATTTTAGAAATGTGAAATATCTTTACAGAAAGTCAGCGGTATCAAGAAAAGTGAGTAAAACTCTGATAAGAATTTAGCCTTTTCACTTGTTCAAACTACACTTATGCCTTGTACTTTAAATGAATCTGGAGTGCATTGTTACCCATTATACTTCATTTTGAGATATGATTGACATAGAACAATATCTAAATTGAGCAGAATAATGCAGGTTGCCAAATGTTCTCTCTTTTTAGTCTATTAACTGTTTACAAAGGAAACTAGTCTTTTTTTTTTTTAATCAAAGTTCAATAAAAACTTTTCACAAAGAGAAAAAAGAGTGATAGAGTAGATGGGCTGTTACTGTAACTTTAGCCTTATTAATGGTTTTCTCAAAACTCTTCCTGCTTTTCCAAACTTTAGGAGAACAGCTTGATGGAGCTCAGATGAATTTGGCCTTCTTAAAGTTATTTGGTCTTTAGTTTAGAACTTTTCCTCCTAGTTTCTTCTAATACAGCATCATTAAAGAAACACGCTTAACAATCTATGATCCGGCACAGAATTGTCTCAAATCTAATAAAACCTTGACTCACCTCTCTCTCTTATGAATTATGAGATCTCATAATTCATCACCCATAAATATAAAACACTAAACATCAAACTATTAGGTGTTGTTGCATATGTGTGTAATAAGAATAATAAAATAATAAGAACTTAAATCATTATTTCATGTTCATGTACTGATCTATTTGTTAAATACTGTGGCTGTGCAATTAAACTGCTGCGATTGAATCAACAAGCCTGTGAAATGAACTCTGCAACGCTTTTCTAAAACTATACTAAACCAGGTTTGTCATTGCTGTTCATAGACTGTTACATAGACTGTTCCTGCATGCCATGTAAAGAGTTACTAATAATTGAAATGTTCACCATTTATTGTGAGGAAGTCAAAAAATTTTGGATAGTTGCTTTTGAAATTTTATAGACAAGGAAACGCAAACACTCATTACATATTTTGAACTAATTTCTCAGTTCCACAAAATTGTATCTACTCAAGGCTGTAATTTCTATCCCTTAAATCATTCATTTATGAATGGGTATTATTCATGCAACCAATCATGTGCAAGCATGGGTGGGATTTCTGTTTTAATTGGTTGGAGTTCAGAGTAATGATCTATTGATGAGTCTATGAATACTGAAGGAGAAAGATCAATGAAGCAGAAATGAGACAGGGAATCCCAGTCTGGAATGACTGACAGCTCTCAGCTAACATGTCTCTGACTTCACAGTACTTGCATTTCAAAAATTATTGTATAAGAAATAAGGGGATGCTCCTCTCCACATTTGTGCGTGAGCATTGATTAATAAGGAAACTAAAGAGAAATACAACTGATCTGTCTGTCTGTGTGTGTGTGTGTGTGTGTGTGTGTGTGTGTGTGTGCGTAGTGAGGCATCCAATTGTGATGAAAAATTTGAACGTGAAGTACATTTATATATACATAATAAATATAAATAGTACACACACATATATTATGTACACAAAAACTTTTATTTTAAATGCGATTAATCGTTGCCCAGCACTTTTGGCTAATTTTGAGCTACAGACAAAAAAAGTGAAAAATGTAGATTTTGGTGGAATTTCAGGTTTTCACACAAATGAGTTCATTAAGTCCTTGTATAGTGATCCCAGTGCTCCAAATAGTAATTAAACATCTAAAATGAATTAACAATAAAAATGTTTTTTTTTTTTTTTTTTTTTAACGAACACACTTTTTTTTTTTGTAACGAACACACTGAAGTGATTTTTACATTTTACATGCTTTGTAGTGCTGTACTTTCTGCAGTTGTGGTACCATTGGTGATACTTTCTATTGTAGTGTCTTAAGGTGCTTTTGGTTGTTGTGGTGCTTTTGCAGCTGTGGTATCTGTTGTTGTTCTTTCTGGAATTGTGGTGCTGCTGGTGGTGCTTGTTGTGGTCTCTGTTGCGGTACTTTCTACTTACTCCTGAACACTTGAATTTTATGCTGTGGATATATTCTTGATTCTTCTATAGATATTTTATCAGTGTAATGTAAGGATAACTTAATTAATTAATTATTATATATAATGCAAAATCTTCACATATGATTACAGAAGGATGATTTAAATTATAAGATTAGTTATTTAAAATAACATAAATAATAGTAAAACAGCACTCATGGATTGTAACCATTTCCATTAATTTAAAAATAATTAATTTTTATTCGGTACCGATGGTGGTGCTGTCTGTTGTTCCATCTGTTTTGGTGCTTTCTGATGTTGCCGTCTCCGTTGTATTTTCTGAAGTTGTGGTACCGATGGTGGTACTCTCTGTTGTTGTGGTCTCTGTTGTTGTGCTTTCTGTTGTTCTAGTGTCTGCAGTTGTACTTTCTGGAGTTGTGGTACTGGTGGTTGTACTTTCTGTTATTGTAGTGCTTTCCGTTGTTGTTATGTCACTTGTTGTGCTTTCTGTTGGTGTAGTGTCTGCTGTTGTACTTTCTGAAGTTGTGGTACCGATGGTGGTGCTTCCTATTGTTGATATATCAATAGTGGTGCTGTCTGTTTTTGTCGCGTCTGTTGTTGTACTTTCTTGAGTTGTGGTAAAGGTGTTGGCACTTTCTGTTGTTGTAGTATCCATTGTGGTGCTTTCTGTTGTTGTACTTTCTGGAGTTGTGGTAATGGTGGTGGTACTTTCTGATGTTGTAGTGTCTGTTGTTGTGGTTTCCACTGTTGTACTTTCTGGAGTTGTGGTACCGATGGAAGTGCTTTCTGTTGTTGATGTACTTTCTGTTGTTGTGGATTCAGTTGTGCTTTCTGTAGTTGTAGTATCTGTTGTGATTCTTTCAGTTGTTGTTGAAGTTTCTGCTGTTGTACTTTCTGAAGTTGTTGCACCGGTGGTGGAGCTTTCCATTGTTGTAGTATCCATTGTGGTGCTGTCTGTTGTTATTGTGGTCTCTGCTGTTGTACTTTCTGGAGTTGTGGTACCGATGGTAGTGCTTTCTGTTGTTGTACTACCCATCGTGGTGCTTTCTGTTATTGTTGTACTTTCTGTTGTTGTGGATTCAGTTGTGCTTTCTGTAGGTGTAGTATCTGTTGTGATTCTTTCAGTTGTTATTGAAGTTTCTGCTGTTGTACTTTCTGAAGTTGTTGCACTGGTGGTGGTGCTTTCCGTTGTTGTAGTATCCATTGTGGTGCTGTCTGTTGTTATTGTGGTCTCTGCTGTTGTACTTTTTAGAGTGGTGGTACCGGAGGTGGTACTTTCTGTTGTCGTAATGTCCGTTGTGGTGCTTCCTGTTGTTGTGGTCTCTGTGGTAGTACTTTCTGGAGTTGTGGTGCCAGTGGTTGCACTTTCTGTTGTGGTTGTCTCCATTGTGGTGCTTTCTGTTGTTGTGGTCTCCATTGTGGTGCTTTCTGGAGTCGTGGTGCTTTCTGTTGTTGTAGTGTCCATTGTGGTGCTGTCTATTGTTGTGGTGCTTTCTGCTGTTGTGGTCTCTGTTGTTGTGGTTTCCACTGTTGTACTTTCTGGAGTTGTGGTAATGGTGGTGGTACTTTCTGATGTTGTAGCGTCTGTTGTTGTGATTTCCACTGTTGTACTTTCTGGAGTTGTTGTACCGATGGTAGTGCTTTCTGTTGTTGTACTACCCATCGTGGTGCTTTCTGTTATTGTTGTACTTTCTGTTGTTGTGGATTCAGTTGTGCTTTCTGTAGGTGTAGTATCTGTTGTGATTCTTTCAGTTGTTATTGAAGTTTCTGCTGTTGTACTTTCTGAAGTTGTTGCACTGGTGGTGGTGCTTTCCGTTGTTGTAGTATCCATTGTGGTGCTGTCTGTTGTTATTGTGGTCTCTGCTGTTGTACTTTTTAGAGTGGTGGTACCGGAGGTGGTACTTTCTGTTGTCGTAATGTCCGTTGTGGTGCTTTCTGTTGTTGTGGTCTCTGTGGTAGTAATTTCTGGAGTTGTGGTGCCAGTGGTTGCACTTTCTGTTGTGGTGGTCTCCGTTGTGGTGCTTTCTGGAGTCGTGGTACTTTCTGTTGTTGTAGATTCAGTTGTGCTCTCTGTAGTTGTAGTATCTGTTGTGGTGGTTTCAGTTGTTTTACTTTCTATTGTTGTAGTGTCTGATGTTGTACTTTCTGGTGTTGTGGTACCAGAGGTTTTACTTTCTGTTGTTGTCTCAGTTGTGATGCTTTCAGTTGTTGTTGAAATTTCTGCTGTTGTACTTTCTAGAGTGGTGGTACTGGAGGTGGTACTTTCTGTTGTCGTAATGTCCGTTGTGGTGCTTTCTGTTGTTCTCGTCTCTGTGGTAGTACTTTCTGGAGTTGTGGTGCCAGTGTATGTACTTTCGGTTGTTGTGGTCTCCATTGTGGTGCTTTCTGGAGTCGTGGTGCTTTCTGTTATTAAAAAATAGTAAAATATTTACCAAACTTTGTTTAGCACTTTTTATACATAAAAAGCAGCTCATAGTGCTTAACATGTAATATAAAAAAAAAACTACAAACAACAATAAAACGTACCACATTGACACTGCAATACACAATAATTAAAACTGATATCAGCTTGCTAAATTAATATTTTAAAAAGACTTGCCTTGACTTGTTTCTTTAAAAATATGAAAGAGCGAAGCCTTTCTAATTTAAATTGGTTGACAATTCCACATTTTGGGGGTTTAGTGGCTAAAAGGAGCACCTCAGAGTCACTTAGGATTTATTGTATAGTTTGCCAGAAGAACAGAACTAAAATATTTGAAAATATGATTTGGAACACATTAACATAAAAATAAATTCTTTGCTGAACTGTCAACCAATGTAATTGTATTAAAACCATGAATATGGTCTCTGCTTAATTCCATTAGTACTTTGATTGCTGCTTTTTGTATTAATTGTAGCTTAGGTTTAAGACAGTGTACATAGCATTAAAGTAATCATGATGAGCAAAAATAATAAATAAAGAGTTTGTCGCTTGATTAATGTGAGATTTAAAACTCAAATCATAGTCCATAATTACACCTAGGTTCTTTACTTCTATCTTCTATCTTTCAGGAACAGCATATAGTACTTAATATTTCATTGATACATAGTCACCTGTTTTAATAAATTATTACCTTTCTCCCAATATATGTCTTGAACCAATTTATAATATTACCAGAGAGACCAATTTCTAGTCTGTTAAGCAAAATTAAATAACCAAGTGTCAAATGATGCATTTAGGTCTAAGAGGATTAAGACTGATGCATTGCTCATATTCGTATTTTATCGCAAACTATTTACTACCTTAAATTACTTTAGCTATTTAAAAATTATATGTTAAAAATGGTCTGAGAATATTACAGAGAAAACAATGCAGTTTTTCCCCCTTAATTGTACACTTCACAACTGTACATTTTAGAGCATTGGAGAAACTTCCTGCCATTTAAACAACATACTTTAGGTGTAGGGTCAAGTTAGGAATATCACTGGGAAACAGTTTGCAAAATATTATTTTTATTAGCTCTCAATGGACACTTCCATTTTTATGCTGAAGATATATATTCTTGATTTTTCTATATAATTTTTATCAGTAATACGTACAGAAGCCTGAATTTATTATTATTATTATTTAATAGCAAAATCTTTACACCTTGTTACAGAAGGATGATTTAACAAATTGTAAGAATAATTATTTAAAATAACAAATAGTTGAAAAAAGCACTCTGGGATTGTTACCATTTTCATTAGTACATTTTTTAAATAAAATAATTGTCTTTCAGAGTGCACTGTTTTTATATAAAGCACCTCAGTGTTATTAATTAGAATCTCACGATGACCTGGCCGGAGAGTTTATTCTTCCATTACATTTTATTAGATATGGATCTTATTTTAAATTTCTCTGGAGCCACTATGTATAGAATTAATTTTAAGAAGACATTAAAACTAATATTGGCTTGTGTTCATTTCTGTAGTTCTCTGAGTTGTGGTGCTTTCTGCTATTGTGGTACCGGTGGTGGTGCTGTCTGTTGTTCCTTCAGTTGTGGTGTTTTCTGATGTTGCCGTCTCCGTTGTTGTACTTTCTGGAGTTGTGGCACTGGTGGTTGTACTTTCTGTTATTGTACTGCTTTCCGTTGTTGTTACCTCAGTTGTTGTGCTTTCTGTTGGTGTAGTGTCTGCTGCTGTACTTTCTGAAGTTGTGGTACCAGTGGTAGTGCTTTCTGTTGTTGTACTACCCATCGTGGTACTTTCTGTTATTGTGGATTCAGTTGTGCTTTCTGTAGGTGTAGTATCTGTTGTGATGCTTTCAGTTGTTGTTAAAGTTTCTGCTGTTGAACTTTCTGAAGTTGTGGTACCGGTGGTGCTGCTTTCTGTAGTTGTAGTATCCATTGTGGTGCTGTCTGTTGTTATTGTGGTCTCTGCTGTTGTACTTTCTGGAGTTGTGGTAATGGTGGTGGTACTTTCTGATGTTATAGCGTCTGTTGTTGTGATTTCCACTGTTGTACTTTCTGGAGTTGTGGTACCGATGGTAGTGCTTTCTGTTGTTGTACTACCCATCGTGGTGCTTTCTGTTATTGTTGTACTTTCTGTTGTTGTGGATTCAGTTGTGCTTTCTGTAGGTGTAGTATCTGTTGTGATGCTTTCAGTTGTTGTTAAAGTTTCTGCTGTTGAACTTTCTGAAGTTGTGGTACCGGTGGTGCTGCTTTCTGTAGTTGTAGTATCCATTGTGGTGCTGTCTGTTGTTACTGTGGTCTCTGCTGTTGTACTTTCTAGAGTGGTGGTACCGAAGGTGGTACTTTCTGTTGTCGTAATGTCCGATGTTGTGCTTCCTGTTGTTGTGGTCTCTGTGGTAGTACTTTCTGGAGTTGTGATGCCAATGGTAGTGATTTCTGTTGTTGATGTACTTTCTGTTGTTGTCGAGTCAGTTGTACTTTCTGTAGTTATAGTGTCTGCTGTTGTACTTTCTGGTGTTGTGGTACCGGAGGTTG